ATGACACACTGTAAAATTGGAGACTGAAAAGCAATGTCAACATTCATATGCTTATACAATATGTGAATCAATCAGAGTCACTCTATCTTGATCATTTTCCGATTTGTTGGGAGACAAATGGTTCTCCAAAGAAAGTACATGTACAGACAACATGAAAATTGCACAATCCGTTATCAAACTCGTGTCACAGAAGTGGTAAGGTCTGGTAAAGGACGTGTGCGACAACTGAATGGTATCCTTTTGTAAAGGTTTTGGCCAGGGGTGGGTATTTATGTTTTAATTGATATTTGAGGTTGAGTAATCAAATTTTTGACTTTTTAATGGTTGGGTCAGCAAAGTTTTTGCCACGAAAAACATTTCTCTTCGGTGCCACCCCCCACCATAAATAATGACCGCTCCCTTATTATAAAACGTGGAATATTTTGAACCGCACGAATTCCTCTAGTACTTTGTGGACCGTTTATATTATAAGACAGATATCTATTGCTTAGATCTGATAAGTCAACATAAATAATATCGAGGTTTGCATTAATCTCGGTATTTGGGTGATTGGTTCCTTAATAATTCCAAAGAAAAATCATTTATAGAACGATGCAATAATGCGGTTTTTAAATTAAGGATAATTTTTTTGAAGTGAGACCTTTGATTATCTGCTACATGAAGTAGAAAACTGTTAATCCAAGATGGCGGACATAATGGAGTACGAAGATTGTGTTTTAAAAGTGAATAAGACGTATGCCGCTAAATTTCAAAAGAAAAGTGAGAAAGCTGAGCTAGATAGATGTGAGTACCATACAAGCTAACTGTGTACTGAATAAAAACATGCAATTTTGATTGATTTGTACTGGGAAGATTTCAAAACTGAAAATTGAGTCAATCTCTGACTCCCATATGAGACAAATATTAAAATTCAGACATTTATCAAACGGTGAATGGTCCAAATAGAATGCCAAATGCAGAAAATACTTTCCAGACGAAGACTTAAGTAACAATCGTGAAATTCAGGCCTTCTTGATAGATTAGTCTAGCCTATAAAGTTTTAGAATCTACATGTATTTCAGTATTCATTTGAAGTATTTTTATCATTAGGCAATTGTCTATTGAGACTTGGGAGTAGCCAACATATACTGTCTGTACAATATTATGAGAACTGAAAGCTAATCAGATTGCTCCATTTTCCATGCATGCTGAACATTAGCCTGAAATGTCAGGCGTTCTCCCCGCTAGCTGAACATAGACATATTTTTTTTCAAATGTGCACAGTCACATACATTACTTTAAAGACGCGGTTTACATGTCAAAGGCTTTGTTTACATGTCGGTATCCAAAATATTGGATTTTATTCGACAACTATTTATATTTTCATGATTCTAGAGTATAATAAATTATCAAGACACAACAATTAAGCTTTGCAAGACCATAAAATGAAATAAAAACCTAAATAAACTGTTTGTATAATAAAAAGAGGGCTCCTTTGTGCACATGTGCAGATCGGACTGTACCACATCTTTAAATTTATGATTACAGGAGAAACAACCGATCATGCAGTTACAGTAGCTGCGTTTTGACTCCAGGGTGCATTTTAAGCGTAATACGCCAGAGATCTTTGGCGTGAGTTTGGCAAATTACAATATTATCTATCTTCAGAACTCCTAGAGTTTAATGTATTCAATATTACATGTATTTACCTGTATGCAAGTTGTCATGAATGCAAAACATCAAACGTTTCACCATGATGGCAACATGGATGTGGCCCCTTAGTGTTGGCCAACAAGAAATAAATATATTTTGTTCACATTTGTTATTTTTAGCTTATCTGACATACTGTATTTAAGACAGTAAGACACTGTCATTGTGATTAGGTCGCGGTCACACTAGCGCTTGAATCGTGGTTGCTTGAGCTAAATCCACTTGAATCTATCAACTGATCACCTTCAAAGCATGCTTGCTAGTGTGACCGCAAAAAATGGAAAAATCAAGCTTGCTTGAAATTTGGTATGATTTGCTTGAAAATTCAAAGGCACGGCAGCAAGCCCCAAACACACTACCGGTACACTAACAGAATATACAGTACGTGTTTGAATCGTGCTAGAATGTGCATCTCAAGTGGATTAGATATTTTAGCTACCAATGAATATTAGAATTTTCAGTTTTAATTAGGGGCAAATAGACAGGCAACTTGGACATGTCATTTTTAAGATAGAAGCGGTAGTTTCAAATTATTATATTTCTCTTCACGACATTAACATGCTAACACTGCAAAGTATCTAGAGTGAATACAAAAATTGATAAGCCAGGCATTCTGGCATTCCGCGGGCAAAAATAACAAATTCCGCTGAATTTTTAAGGTCAATTCCGCGGCCAAAATAAGAGCTAGATTCCGCGGCGAAATTGAGAAATTCTGCGGACAAAATTCAGATGTTTCTAAGCAAAATATCAATATCCACCTTAGATAGTAAGAAATATATTATTAAAATTTAGAAAGTCGAATAAAAGTTCTCGGTTGCACAAGAAATCTGACATATTTAATATACAGCGAGTCCCAACATAAAACAAAACAGACCATACGTCATCGACGTGAAAACTGTAATTACTCGTTTGAGCGCCGTCTCCGAATAAGCGCCGCACTAATTTTCAATCTGCGGCTCTTAATCCAAGTACCGTGTAACATCATGTTCGAGAAGCCGAAATAGAAACAATCACTGTGCGTGGGTTTGTGGGTTTTTGCTAACATTTTGCCACTGAGTTGTCATCAAACATTATCGAACTTTTTTCATGAACCAAAGCTACGGATCGTAATTGAAATTGTGTGAACCGGAAGTGCAGCTGCAGGAATATTACTAGAAATTGAAAAATTAAAATGCTAATAAACGTTTACGTAGTGGCTAGTAAAATGACGAATATCAATGAAAGCACTTAACGCCACTTTTAAGGAAATCTCCGTTCGTAAGGCTTTAAATTTTACAAAAACGTCTTGTATCAGATCACACAAATGCATCTTTTTGTGAATTTAAGGGGAAAATAAAAACAAAAAAACTTTACCAAAGTTTAATTAAATTTAAATGCCTGATATTAAGCAGATCGATGCCAAGTAGTTCAGACAAATACAATAATCAAAATGATCCTGTCTTTATGTATTCAAATCCTTTCCGTATTGAAAGAACATCATCAGTGTTTTGGTTGTTTCTTTGCAATAAAAGAAACAATCGTCTCCTTCTTCTGCTAGGGATCTGCGCCTAGCGGAGTCATGCATTCTTTGGTATTTATAATAAAGCAGTAGCACAGATGTGTTCTCCATCTAGCTAAAATAATACCCAAACTAAATAACGCCTAAACTGTTATGAAATCTCAAGAATTTGTTTTTAATGGACTTTTAGATCAGTCATTTGTCAACAGCAGCAAACAAGCACGCTATACTTTTCTGAATGTGACAGCGACGTGCTTGGCTTACATTCTAGCACGAGCTTGGTACTGTATGTGTTCAAGCAAGCACACTAATCCGGCGGTAATCCTCAAGCGCTAGTGTGACCGCATCCTTTAAGTTTGACAACAAAATTGACCACATGGAATTTAGCTCAAGTTTTCGTCAATTACTGTAACAGCCCATGGACAGCGGGCATTTATTTCTCATTTCTATGATCACAATATTGATATGTACGCACCAGTCCATGGTGACCATTCAGTCCCACACCAGTACAGTATGTGTTTTTGGTCAAACAATTATCTGACTGGTCAATTCCCACATGCAAGCCAAAAGTGAAGATAAAACACAAGAGAAAATGCACTGGGAATCAGATATTACACTATTAGTGAGAAAGCTGCGGATTGAGAGTGATTCAATTACCTAAAAAATACGTCAAGTAAAAGTTTGACGTTTCGAGTGAGGGCCCTTCATAGGGAAGTTAATAGCATGGATTGGGAAAATACATGTGCTTCCTTTGATACCACTGTTTACAATAAACGAATCACCCGCGTTTAAATAAAATTATAAGTCTATGCTAGAATGCAATCAAATGTAAAACCATTTCCATTAATATCAACAGTACTGCTCAAGTCAGAAGTTAATTGATATCTATTTCGCGGAATCGTCCAAAAATCGCGGAATTCAGTTTAAATCGCGGAATTCCGCGAAATTCAGTTTAAATCACAGAATTTAAACTTTGGTAAAGTCATTTTTTTTATTTTCCCCTTGAATTCACAAAAAGATACATTTGTGTGATCTGATACAAGACGTGCACTTCCGGTTCACACAATGTCATTTACGATCTGTCAGTACCTCGTGAAAAAAAGTTCGATAATGTTTGATGACAATTCAGTTTTCCATGACCGTGGATAAATACAATTTAAAAACATTGCATGGCAGTGGCAAAACGTTAGCAAAAACCTACGCACTGTGATTGTTTCTATTTCGGCTTCTCGAACTTGCTGTCATGCGGTACTTATTCCGCGATTACTACAGCGCTTATTCGGGGACGGCGCTCAAACGAGTAATTACAGTTTTCACTTTGATGACGTACGGTCTGCTGTTTTGTTTTATGTTGGGACTCACTGTATTAAACATGTCAGACTTCTTGTGAAACCGAGAACTTTTATTCGACTTTCTAATATATTTCTTACTAATTGAAATGACCCTATAATTACTGTTTGTAGCGGTAGATATTGATATTTTGCATAGAAATATCTGAATTTTGTCCGCAGAATTTCTCATTTTGTCCGCGAAATTTGTCATTTTGGCTGCGGAGTCTCTTATTTTGGCCGCGGAATTGCCCTCAAAAATTCCGCGGAATTTGCTATTTTTGCCAGCGGAATTCCAGAATGCCTGTTTTTGAAGGAATGTAGAAGGTCATGCACTCGTTCATATGTTTTCATGCAAAAATACTGTCCAATTTTCTGAAGCTATTGAATGATACACATTGGACTGTTTTTTAGTACGAATAATATGTGGAAAATTTTTTACTCAAAAACGATTTGCATAAGTTTTCCAACAATGCAATATTTGAGAATGTTAAAGGAATTTTTCAAGAAGCTTTCAAAATTTGTGGCTGCTGATGATATACATGGTGGCAACATGAAACATGAAAAGTTTAATAATACCAAGAAAATACTATTACAATTTTATGCTGTACGTCTCAAAAATTATTCTCATTCCTGCAGCCATAATGTAGCCAGCCACTCTATGACTTGTGTCACTCATATTCCAAATGTTACATGCGAACGTGCTCCAAACGCATAATCAAACACGGTCCAAATGCAACATTGACTGCCTTTCGAACGCAGTATGTAACAAACTATCATCATGATGATACCACAAAATAACAAATGCAAAGCATTCCAAATGCATAATCAAACGTGTTTCAAGTTTCTATGCATCATTGAACGCAATGAGTGCTTTTCAAACACGCAATGAAATGTATTCCGTACGAATCATTGAACGAGTTCCGAACGCACAATTAAATGCTGCGTGACTGATCGTGTTCCAAACTTTAAAGCAAATTTGATTATTCTGAGCATTTGTCTTAAATTTGTATGGTTTAGTGAAGGATAAATATGGAGAAAATGAAGATGAAGATTCAGAAAGTACGAGTGAATCTGAGGATGAAGATGCCAAGGTAATTTTAAAACACCGATTCCTGCCATTGTCATTGACCCATAGTTGCATTTTTCACAGCTGTTCCTGGTTAGGGCTGAATGCTAATAAATGTTGTACAGTATATAAATTTCCACTCGATAACTTCCATCTACCAAACCCTTCAACTATTATTCAATCGCGTGAGATGTCAACAAAATCTTGATATATTTACCCATAACCTAACATGGCAGTACCTACTATACAGGGCCGCAGATTCGATTCCTGCCACTAGGACATATAATTTAAATTCACAGCTGTTCCAGATTACTGTAGGTCTAATAAATGTATATAAATTTTCACACGATAATTTCCATGTACAAGACTCTTCAACATACTGTATCTACAGGTGTTTCACTATTGGCTTACTCAATTGGTTAAGAGGAGTAAATTACTATACTAGTCTTGAATTACATGATTATAGTGCTTTATAATATTTTATGGAGTTTACCCTGAACAGGTGCCTCTCTTATTAATGATGCACCCTGCCTGGGTTGACGCTTGTGCCCTTTCCAATATCGGGTGCAGAGTTTTTCCCCAGGACCATGCGAGTTCCAGAAACCAGTCGCCCTCAACACGTGACTGCTTTTGAAGCTAAATTTGGTGGACTGGTCGTTGCTATTTTTCAAATTCAAAAGTTCTACGTGATTTGTGCAAGGGGAATTATATCACACGACCTGGGCCCAGTGGCGGACACTTTTTCTAAACATCGGGGGGGGGGTTGCTTTTGGGAGGGAGGGGGATGCCCCTGCGAGTGTACACCACTGATCCATCCATCGTTGCTCCACAGTTTAAGATTTGCAGTATTAATGATAAAGTATTTGTGCTCAATAGTCTCGCTATCATATGATTATTATGTACTTGGACATTGTATTGGACATTGTATTGGATGACAGAATATTTACAGCGTTCCGCAAAATTTCTAGTTTGCCAAACTTCATGAGTATTTACAACGTAAAATTAATGAAATATTTCAGTGAAATTGTTACATCGGGTAGTTATTTTTTGTACACTACAGTAGTTCGGCATTATTCAGCAGCATACATGTACAACAAGCCTCGTATGTCTATGAATTAAGGAGCTTAACACAGAGAAGGAAAGGGATTTCCTCAAGACGCTTGCACTCATCAAGAACAAAGACCCTAAAATATATAATAAAGACACAAAATTTTATTCAGATGGTAAGTGTTATTTAGTATACTTATATATGTAGTCGATCTGTATAGCGTTATAGTCGCTTACTGTATATACTATAGGTATGGTGTTGTTTTGTGTTGTATTGTATTGTGTTGTGCAGTGTTATGTTGTATTGTGTTGTGTTGAATTGTTTTCTGTTGTATTTATTGTGTTGTGTAGTATTGTTGTGTTACTATTGGTTATTAAAAAGCTATACAGGTTGGTAAGAAAACTACTTATTAAACACATAAATTGTGGGATCATATATGTAATTGTTGTAAGATTATTTTGAAAATACACTTGAGTCCCTTAGATGATCAATATTGTCTGATTTGTGAAACAATAAAAGTCAGACAAAAAAATTATGTGGATTATTTTTGTCTGCAGAAGTGAACGTAAATGTTGAGGATCGAAAACCAGAGAAACATGCCAAGCCAATCTACCTTAAAGATTATGAAAGAGAACGACTTCTGGAAAAAGGAAGGTAAAATTTAGAATGTATGGTGTTGTAATTCATAAGAACCCAGTTAAGGCGAGCATTTTTGTGTTGTACATTTACTGTACTGTACCTTGTAGTGAAGCTTTTGTGAGTGAGGAAAGTTCTGAAGACGAAGAAGGCACAACAGCCAAAGTAAGTCATTGTAAAAAAGTTGTTGTCAATGATTATGGACAATTAACGGGTTCAGAAAAGGACAAATTGTAAATTAAATTAAAATAAAACATTACATTGCAGCCACCACTAACTTACATTGAAGAGCAAGAAGAATTAAAGAAGAGGTATTTCAATATATTTTATAATATTTCTTGATGATTAAGTTGCTATGGTTTTCCCTGTATCCCGCCATGAAGCGTCCAATGAATCAAGCATTGTGGTTGGAGTAGTGTCTGCCTGTATAGTGATATTTCGGATGCATTTCATGTCGCATCTTTTTTAATTATATAATGATGTTGTTAGTTTCACAGACGCTGTTAATGCCGTTGATGATAATGAAGTTCATTTTTTGACAAAGCGGAAGAAATCAAAGCGGGAAAAGGTATACATCTCTACGAATCATTTAATTTAATATGCAATATTTTGGAGTAGAAAATGATTTGTGGAATTTGGCAATTTTCTTACGTCAAATTATGTGTTCTATACAGTAGTATATCTATATTGTATGTATTTGATATATATTGTATTATGAAATCGAGGACTTTCATTGTGTGTAAAATACAGGTTTCGCTTATTCGTGTAAATTAATCAATAACTCTAAATAATCTGTCACGTATCAAATTACTATTTTAAATAATACAGTATATTTGAATTTTCTAGTTGAATACATAAAATCATTATTTGAAGTTTTCATGGCATAGGCCGGTAGTTTATGACATAGACTCGATAATTTACTGCAGTTCGATACAGTATTAAATATATACTGAGTGTGTAACCTTAATTCGCATTTTAGTAAGTTTTATAAATGTTTGATTGCATGCATTTGCCACTTTTCTATAGTACAAAGTGTTTTACAATGCAAGAATACAAAATTTAGTGATACACAAAATCGTAAAGTTTGTCTGTTGAGGTTTTTATTCACACATGCCTTGTTGGATTTCAGGAAGTAGAAGATAAGAATTACGCCGATTGGCTGCAAGAAAAGAATTTAACTCACAAAGACAAGAAAGAACTGGTTTGTCTTGTTTTCTTTTTTCCTTTCCTTATAGGAATACCTACTATAATACAATTTTTATCGTTTCTATTCGTTTTGAATACCATTATTTAATAACTATAATATTGTAAGTAACTTCTCTGTTTTGGAAAGCCTGCTCTATTTGTATACTATGCATGGTGTGTTCGATGTGCAAAGTAATTTAGAAACGATAAAGTAATCTTGTAATCATGTAAGCAGACTGTCTTGCCTTGAGTTATGAGAGTAACGACTCATTCGTCAGTTGATATTTATCAGTAGTGGATCTAGCCAGGTTTTTATTAGAGGGTGCTGAGCAAGCAGCCAAGCAATTGGAGCAAACCGAATCCAGACTGGCTGGTCGCGCGCCAGTATGTTACTAGTAGTGTCACTCTTAGTTACAAAACGTGCGGAAACAGTGTATAATCCATGCATGTATACAGTAGGCTGGATAAATATACTGTATATTAGTCGATAATGTGATTAGTACGTGGAAATTTTTCACATTTTTCGAACATTTGATTACTTTATCAATTTGTATTTTTCTATTATTATTACCGAGTAGTTTATAATGTTAGACCTTTGCAGCAAATTCAGACTTGTTTCGTTTTTTGAACTACTGCAGTGCTGCCTAAGCCTTGAATTAATAAAAAATTAAGTAAGTTGGTTTAAGACTCATAACACATTTTAAATAAATTTAATATTTTGCACTCCGCCTTCCACCCCCGAGACCAACAAAGGTGCGCATCTCTTTTCACCTCCCCTTGCAATCGACCACTGATATTTAATTTTATTTCTTGTTAAGGAACCGTTAATGCAACTTTGGAATGATCCCAACCTCGACGAGGACGAGAAATTTCTAAGAAATTTCATTTTACAGAAACAGTACATCGATAAGGATTCTCTTGAGTAAGTTATAGCTCATAATTAGATTACAAAATCATTTTTTTAAACATGGCATTTAGCTTAGTGAGAGCCAAATCATCAACACCAAATTCAAACAACAACAACAACAACAACAACAACAACAACAACAACAACAACAACAACAACAACAACAACAACAACAACAACAACATTAAGAACATTAAGAACATTACTAAGAGGCAAGAGCTACAACTTACAGCAACTTTATGCAGATACATATATTACGTTTAGCTTACTTGTTTTAATTTTTTAGCAAAAGATCCATGATTTAATTTTTTAGCAAAGATACCAGTTGGTATGTCTTACTTCTTCCAGAAATAAGACACAGTTTTTTAATCATTTAAATGTTTCGAGAACGTTTTCGTGAGATATTGTAGTCTATCAAGATATGATGGTCTGGAAACTGAACAGAAGCCATTGTATTATGTTTTTATCTGAGTTTATGTTAATTTGTTCATGGTCACGGTGATTGAGCTCATTGTATTTTCGTATAAGTAAGTAACCGTCTGATAGCGATAGCTGAGATCAAACGTGCAACCACGATGAATAATATTTAATGAGGTGAGGTACAGTTGAACATCAAACAAAAATCTTGTATTTTGTGGCTTTAAAGTTTGCCTGGCTTCCAAACCATCATATCTTGACAGTCAATGACAGACTATAGTATATATGTCCGTGGTCTAAATTGGAGTTGATAATTGATTATAACAATTTATATTTTCGAACGTTTCTGTTGATTACGAGTTTCGGCACAAATACGAAATCTTCTTTTACGAGTTGTAGCCTATAGAGAGTAATACATGGGTGCTCGGAAATACCAGATTTATTTCGAGTGTTGAACATGCATGATACCCACGAGTGAGCGCACTGTTTATTATATAAAGGACAGTCTTTGAAAAGCGATAATTTTTACAGAAAAGCGATAATAGGCAATTCCAGCTTTTAGTTTATGCGTGCACGGGACAATGGGAAGTGTAGCCTGCGAACAGGCTCTCAAGCTGAATTGAGAGCCTGCATCGATGACTAATGAATTTGAATATCTGCCCCGTAACGTTCGTTTTTCCAAATATGGAATGTCTAT